AGGTCAAGGCGTGGAGGCGAGAGAAGGGGGGGAAGATGGGAACATGCGGACTAGTCATACCACTTACCGTACCTGAAGACCAGTCTGCACGTGCAACAAGGCAATGGTGGCGCAAAGCAGCGATGACTGGATGCGTCGATGCTAGTGGAGCAGACGAGATCAATCAATCAACCAATCAATATAGCTTCGCTAACAGGCGTAGTAGCGGTGTAGAAGGTGCTGGTGGACGGTAGAAGAATAAAGGAATGGGGCGTCACAGGAAAACTACGGATGGAGCAGACGGCGGTCAGTATTTACAGCATGTGACGCGGGAAACGAAGACGCACGGGGCAAGCGCATTTTGCAGTCTACAACACAGCGCTTTCCGAGCCGCGCACGAAAACACGGTGTAGCGTCCTGCGCTGAACCGCCTCCGCGCAAAGGAGCTCGGGTCCTTTCCCACTGGCCGGCAGCGGGGCAGCGTAGATGACCATGGTACCGTAGCCTGCACAGACAGCAACACCCAGTTGCCACAGTACACGCACCCACTGCACCGAGGCCAGCGACAACAACAGGTACATCCCCACACAAGTCTGCGTACCTGCAGTTACAATAGGATGGCAAAAGAATACGCACGCATAGTAGCGCAACAAGTGTACAGCGTAGCCACGCGCGTTTGTATGCGAAGAGTGTGTGAACGCGGACGTGGACGTGGGCGTGGGTGGATGTTTGTGTGTGGGTGTGTGTAAAAAGGTGAGCCGAACGCGCACCGGTCGACAATGCACAAAGCGTGTGGACGGTCTTTAAAAGGGGATACGTCAACACTCGCCGTAGGTAACACCAGCGTCAGCCCTGTTCCAGCCAAAGCACGCCGATGCAGCATGCGAACAGAAAAAGGAGACGCTGCCGATACTTGCGCGTCGGTAGGTGTACTCGCACGCGTATACACACGCATACACGCGCACGCACGCACGCACGTACACACTAGTCAAATCGCGCCTACAGCTCGTTCCGCCGACGACCAGCGACAAGCGGAGCGGCTCGATGCCATGCCAACAGACCGGAACTGCCAAGCGCCAAACCAGGCCGTCACCCACCAACCACGCCGTGGATGATCAGGCATGAGAAAACCAGGAGCATACCATGGAACACAGCCTAGCTCATCGCCATGATAGCGCAACAGGGGAAGGGGTCGCGAGCATGACACGACAACCGACTGCAGCGAGACAGCGCGGCGTCGTCGTCTCCGCTAAGCAGCGCCCTGTATGGCACGCCATGGAACCAATGCATGCTACGCGCGCTTTGCAAACCGGCATCCCTACAGATAGTCATGCAGACGCGATCCATGCATGGCTGATTGCAGCCGCGAAAACCAGCCGGCGATTAGAAAACGGCGAAAAGGGGGGAGGAGCCTCCCGAAAAACGCCTTTGACCGGCATCCGTTGCGATGCTGCCAGGCCATGGACAGCGCAGCTCCCTGCCGAATGGCCACGTCTCCTGGCCGCCACGCGAGCATTAGACGCCGCCCCTTTCCGGTTGGAGCATCTTGCGCCGATCACCACCTCCAAGACAGGCGCGGGTAGAAAAGGAGGCGACAGCTATCGGATGCACACTGCCAGGTAACGCTGCGCAGCAGGCGCACGTGGTCATGGCTTTCGTGAAGCCACGCAAAGCCACGCTCCGGGAGTGGCGCACAGTCCCCATACATCCACCCAGCCGCCGACATGCCCGAAAGGGGCTGCAGCTACTGGCGGCCAGTGGAAACGCGGTGTCAAACGCGACCATGCCGCTGCCACTGCGGTCCACTTACATAGAGTAAAAGCGCAGACAGCCAGACCGTCAACGGAACCAGAGGCCAGCGCTATTACCGGAGGGGAAAGCGGCGGACAAGAAACGTGTATGTGAACGAAGCGCCGGCCACCGTCGCCGATGTAAAGTAACCAGCGACGCGCGGTCAGCAAAAAGGATGCGGATATCAAAAGGCCGCCGTGCAAAAGGCACCGTGTATACGAGCAATAGAAAAAGGCCGCAAGCAGCCGGAGCGAGTGGTTTGCTACGAAGAGGCAGAGAAGGGAAAGAGTGCGCCAGACGGAACAGGACGCGCACCAAGGCCAGCGGTCAGGTAATGTCGACAATGGTGTAAAAGGAAAGTGGGAGTGCGGCTGTGGAACAGTACTGCGCGCATACATTGACACATACCCACACACACACACACACACACACACACACACACACAATCTATGCACTCGCATACATCGCCGCGAGCCAACACACTGCCACGCCCGCACACTCACTCTATATGCAGCACGTGCCGTGACGCAAGCTACCAAGTAGCTTTGCACCGGCGGCAAGGCGTTGAGCTTGCTGTCCGCGCCGGCGGCGCAGCCAGCGCCGATACACATCTGCCAGCGCAAGATGCCAAAAAAAGCAACATGTGCACAAGTATCGCAGGCCCAACACGCGCACGTTCAAGGTCTAGGCGCTGCCAAAGAGATGAAACGCCGCGTTGCGCAGCGCAGCATGTTGCAGGTGCCAGCTGTACCGACCAAACAGAGAGTACTGGGCAAACATGCTCCGACCGGACTTTGTCGGCGTGGGAAGCTTGCAACATGGTGCATCGCACGCGAGTGCGCTTATGGGCAAGTTGTCGCTTAAACGCATACTGCGGTCGCACCGAATACCGCCCCAGTATAGCATGCGCTGCGATGCAAAACTAGATACGCGGCTGCTCGGCAGCATGGGCATCGGGGCAAAACGGGCAAGCGCACGCGGTCCGCTTACCTTTTACGGGCACGCCAAAGGTCGATGTGTTGCGAGAGGAGCGTCCAACGCTGTTGCCAGTGGACACTGGTGAGAAAGGAGCACAAGCACGTGTACGGACGGGGAGAGCGGTGCTGCAGTGAAGAGCGACGTGTATATGTAAAAGCGGGCGCCACAGAACTTTGGCGTCTGATGACGGTGTATGTATAGTAGAGGCAGTTGTATCGAAGCGCACGCAGCGCTGTGTTTAAGCTCGCAACGGTCGAGGGCACGTGTGCGCACACCGCAGGTCTACACGTAGCTATCAACGACAAGCGTGCCTACGCGGATGGGGCGCGTACACTGGTGGCACAACAGCACACAAAGAGACCACCAAAGACGGCAGCGGTGACGAGCAACGGACCAAAGAGCAGGCAAGCGGTGGAGATGACTCGGTCGCCCGGAAAAGCTGTACAAGTAGAAGCGCCAAGCGCAGCACGCTGGAGAGCGGCAGACAGGCAGACAAAGAGAGGCGGTGACCCACACGCAGAGAGCGAGTGGTGTCTAGAAAGGACCAAAAACTGAAGACAGAAGCGCCGGTAACAGTGCCGCAACAGCACAGTGCCGCAACGACAGACAGACAGGCAGGCAGGCAGACCGGCCGCGCCGGTAGACTCGGGCAAGGAGGAGGAAGAGGAGGAGGCAAGGCGGAATGAGAAGAGAAGAGGGCGGACAGGCAAGCGTCCGGACTGCTGCCTCTACGCCGATCGGCCGCTGGATGCTGGCTGGCTACAGGCAGTCCGGCCAACGGGTGGTCGTGTAGAGAGAATGCGTGTACACGGAAGGGGAGCGAGTCGAGGAAGGGCGAATACAGCGGAAAGAAAGAGACGCAAAGGTGTCTCACCATTGCTGCCATTGGACTGCGAAAGGCGTGGCCATGCAGCATCGCTCCGGCAGTCTGCTGGCTCGTTCGCTCGGGTTACGAGTGCGCGCAAGAACACGCGTGGCGCCGACCAAGGCCGTTGGCATCAGCCATGCTCGGAGTGTCGCTTGCATCTCCGCTCTCCAGTCCGCTGCCGCTCACGCGGTGCATTCTCGTCAAGGCCGTAAATAAACGTGCTAGCGGCCGACTGCCAGACGGTCGCCGGCAGTCCGTCGGCATAATACGCTGCATGGTGTGCCGCGCTCAGCCGGCCGGACAGACGGCAAACGGCATGCGCCTCCGCCATACTTGCCGCGCACATGCATGCGCCTCAGTATCAGTTGGACTCGATCTGCACCGCGGTTGAGCGCGCACAAACATGCTCGCATTAGTTGCAACAGGCCAGACTGGCGTGCAGTAACCTGGTTGGCCCTGGGCCGTTGACCGCCTGATACGGGTGTGTAGAGCGCGCGGCATCTGCTGCCATCGGCAGACGCGTCTTGCGGTCTGCATGCGTCGGATACACTCACGCTCGCAACCGTCATCGCTACGCCATACACATCGGCAGCAGGTGTGGTGATGCAAGCACGCACGGCAATGACGATGCACTTTGCGGTCACTTTGAGCATGCAGGATGTCCCTGGGTCCGTCACGCACGGCAAACGTGGCGGCGACGGCGGCGGCAGCGGCGATCACCGATGAGATGTGACGCCATGGCGGTGGCCGTCGTAATGGCAGAGAATGGACAACAGCGTTACCACGACTGCTGTGGCTCGGTGTGACGACGTACAACGCAAGCCAGCCACGGCCCCTTCTGTGCTGCCAGTGCACCCTTGGTTTGCGTATGGCGTCTACACCACGTCGTAGTACCGCATGTGGTGCCGGTAGACGGCCGCTCCGCTTTCACCGCGGCTGCAGACGGGCACACTGCACAGTCGTTACGGCCGCACGTTCCCCTGACCGCTGCAGCAGCGATAGCGACCGAGTAGACCATCGGCGGATTCTGACGCGCGCATGCTGTAGCCAAGCGCCCAGCGCGGCTGCATAGCTGCCACTGGAAGCGATGCAATGGCTACGCTCGAGTGGCGGGAGCAGCAAGGCGACGCAAGCCCTGCGCGAGGACGAATACGAATGCTGCCCACAGGCAAAACAGCATCGCAGATATGCGATTGGTTCCCGCCCTACCGCAATTTAAATGCAATGCTGTCGGTCACACTGCTGCGTAGCCAAGCAAATGTGGGCGATCAGCCGCTGCAACGCTTTGACACCGCTGCTGCCGCCATCGCCGGCAAAAGAAACTGCGCAAAAAGTACGGCTTTGCCGGAACGCTTACCTTATCCAAGGGGCGTGACGTAAAAAGTCCGAGAACCCGGATTTGAACCAGGGACCTAGAGATGACGGGTGTTCACTACAGTCTCCCGCTCTACCAACTGAGCTATTCTCGGATCATGTTACTTGCTGAAAACAATGCTATATGTTTCCAAAAATATTGGACAAAATGCGCGCTTTCGAGGCTTTTTTTATCGGCGGCGCGCTCCTTCATCGACAATATGTATGTCTGGACTATGCTGCTCATGCTGAGAGCACACTGCGCCATCGTTGCTACAAGTACTTGATAGGCGCCGACTGGCTGGTTAGCAATGGTCAAAAGGACCTTCTTTTAGCGCACCGTGTATCTGTGCATACTATACGACGGCGGTACACGGTCTGCAGTTCTGCACCTTACTTTTGCCGATCGGTAAGCTTGCGGATGCTAAACGCACGCAAATGTTGCGGTGGCATCGTGATTTTCTCAGTAGGATGTGTTTTCCAACACCCCCTGATCGCGACAATGGCTACAGCAAACAGTCTTTTAATGCTTTGCAAGAAAGGCAAATGGGATGTGCACGCTTCACACAGCAGCTGTCGCCGTGCTCAGTATGCGAGCCGCGATGACTAGCAGGCGTGTGCATGCAGATTTGACTGCCGCATCGGCTCACTCGCCATCCAGAATACTATGCTACCGATTTGGTATACACGACTGCCGTTTTCACACCTAGGCAGCAAATGTGTTGTCCAGGAATTTGAGGTAGTCAAGATGGCCCTGCTCGCCATCCTTGTTAGGCATCACCTGGGCCAGATACTGCGTGGTATCGGCAGGCAAACCGACACGCTTCAGCTCAAGCTCGGTAATATATTCCTGCAGTGCAGCCACCGACAATCGTTAGCATAGGCGGAGACCAACAGACCACTCAGGGGTGAGTATGCGTACCTTGTCACCGGCCACCGCCTTGAACGACTCGCGCAGCTGGTCCGGCGTGGTCTGATCTTCAGTGATGCTAACCATAAACTTGGTAAACTGCTCGAATGAGCACTCTTCGCGGCCCTGCGTGCACTTTTGGAAAATCCTGGTAAACTCGTCGTCCTGCGGTGATTGCGCGCAAAACTGGTCAGTTGATGTGCACTAGACCCTGGGAATTCGCTCATCGACAATGGCCTATACCACCCACCGAATAGCTATAGCCGAGACCCGCAAGGCAAGCCTTGAACTCCAGCTCGGTCAGCGTGTTGGAGTTGTCCTTGTCAAAGAACCGGAATGCGCTCTCAAACTCCTCCAACTGCGCCGGAGTCAGGTTGGTCATGTTGCGCGAGACAATCTGCGGGAAAATGTGGTGTTAGTCATGATATGGGCAGGCACCCAGCTGTTCTGGCACGCACCTGGTTCTCGATGAATGCGGCCTTGTTGGAAAGTGCTTTCTTCAGCAGGCTCAGATCGTACGTCAGATCATCCATCGAGTAGATGGTGTAGTCGTTCTCTTCAATGTTTGCTTCCTGGCACTGGCGGTTAACGCCACGGATCTTATCCAGCGACGTCTCCAGCGAGCCAACGCGGTTGCTTAGGCTCTTGACCGAATTGAGCTGGGCCTATTGAGTGGGCGCAGCAGGAAAATAACAAGGTAGATGTGAAGGCGAGTTTGTCAGCATGTGCACTACATGTGGCTTCGCTAGTCGCCGCTACAGCGGGTCACGGCATACTTGCCTGCAGATCACCATCCAGAGCTGCCAGCGAGCCAGAAATGCTATTCAGGCTCTCCTGGAAATCGTTGGCCAGCTTGGCAAACGACTGTTCCAAACTCTGCTTCACCCTATGCACCGACGCAACAAGATGTGAGCACACATGGCAACACAGATACTGGCGCCATTTCACGCGCCACCTACTCGCGAATCTGCTTGTTGATCTTCTGACGGCGCTGCACCTCACCCTGCAGCAGCTGTTGCCATGTCTGGTCGAGATCCTGCAGCGTTAGGCCGGTGGGCGGGTGGTACGGCTTGAGGTTGTAGGTCTTGAGCTTGGTCTGGATATTGCCCAACAGCGTGTCAACATCGTGCTTCTCGGCCACCCAGGTGCGCTTGGTCGTGGTCTTGTAGTCGATGAATTCGGCCGACTGCCGCTTGGCGCCCACGTACGTGCCGTCAAAGCTGGCATTGCGCCATACCGAAAGAATGCTCGTAATGTCGGCCATCAGCTTCTTGACGCGCCGCTCATAGTCGTTCTCCATCTCCCACGCGGATTTCATCATGTCGGCAAACTTGGTCACACGGCGGTTGGCCGCATCCACCTTGCCAAGTGCCGAGAAGGCGTGGAAGTACTGCGCCACATAGGTCATGATGGAACGCTCGTCTGGCTTGGCCATGTCGCAGACATCAGCCACATCAAGCAGCTTTGGGATGCCCAGCTGCGATTCGGCCACCTCAAATGCCAGCGCAGTGTTGGCGTGACGGTCGCTCTTGTCCAGGCTGTGGTAGTCGAGCAGATCCGGTCGGTGGCAATGAATAAGCGCGCAGAACGCCAGGCCATCCGCCCAGCTGAACGTAAAGTCGCGCACGTTCACGTCGTGGTAGTTGGCCGTCTTGCGCTGGCACCACAGCAGCAGACCCTCCTTGGCCGTCAGGCCCTCCTGGCTAATCTCGGCGATTGTAAAGCGCAGAATAATGGTCCAGATCAGACCGAGAATCAGCTTGGTGTTGCCGTCGGTGATATCCTCAGCGCCAATGTTGGTCAAGTTGATGCCGCGGAACTTGATAAACTCGAGCGCCTTGTTGACATTCTCCACCTGCTGGATGCGCAGGCGCGGGTTCTTGTTGTAGCGGCCGAGTGTCGTGTCGCCGATGATTTCCTTTACAAAATAACATTAGCCATGGTCGTCTGGACGCACAGTCAATCAAAATGCTCCTACCAGCAGCTGGATGAGCACGGTACCGTCGCTGAGCTTGTCCAGATGCTCGATGGAAGGCAGTCCGCGTGTAGCCAACTTTGTGCTCACCCTACGTAAGATCGATGCAGTGTCAGCGCCCGTGCAGCATCACATGTGTCCCGCATACACGCTCGGCATACCACTTGGTGAAGGCTAACGAAGCGCAGTGTCGCCCAAGTTAGCACGACGTAATGCACAGACCCCGTCACGCTGTTTGCTCGCTGTACTCGCTCCGTCACTTACTTCGCTGCTGGACGTCTTCCCAGGCCTTGTCCAGAAGCAAGACTGTATGCGACAAGGTTGGTTGGTTGGTTGTGAGCAAGGCGATGGTCAAGGTCATGCGCCACGTCTACACTGCTCCGCCGCTCTCCCTGGTTCTCCCCCTCATGTATGCCTACCCAGGTCGTTCTGGGCCTCCTGCGAGGCGGCGGATTGCTCAAACGGCGTCGTCATGGTTACGGCTGTGCGGTGGATGAAGTCAAGAGAGAACGCAGACGGGATGGACAGGCGGTGTGGTAGAGCAAAAGGGTCGAGTAGTCTGGTGATGGCGGGTGGTGTGACGGGTAAAGGCGATGAAGAGGCGCTAGAGGCGATGGCAGCGAAAGCTGTTCGGTAGAGAAGGGCTCGTGGGTTCGCCAAGAATGAACGAGCACGCGGGCAGCTGCTCACGCGCTTGGATCAATCGGTTCCTGGCCAAGTAACGGCGGCGACGTCATCACACAAATCCATCCGACACTGGTGGCAAACCCGACGGATCCCATGCGTGGCATGGCCTTGAGCCAAGGCCAGACAGCATGCGTTGACCAAGAAAAGACGACGGCGCGGTACCATGCGCAAGATTGGCAATACGCGTGCTCAGGCCGCAGGCGGTTGCTATTAAGGCGCAAACCTAACGTACACACAGGCACACACGTGCATGCAAGGCGAGCATCGCCACAGCAGGGACGCTTGGGACGAGAAAAGAGACTCACAGATAGGTATACATAGGGCATATAGGTGCGGCCATCACACGCCGCTCACGCTGCTTGGGCCTGTAGGAAGCATGACCATATTGTTGCCGGCTGGACCGTAGGTGAGTCCGAGACCAGGTGCCATAGTGACTGGTGGGCCGGTCGCTGCTGACGGGTACTCGATCTCGGAGATGTAATACTTGTCCGGCACCATGAGGAAATAGCGCTCCATTGCGTTTCGGAAGCGGCGCTTATACTGGCGTGGCGTCACGATGGTTGGCTCTCGGCTGCCGCCGCCCAGTAGGCCGGTTTCCTTGACCCAGCTTTCCAGGCGCTTGTCCCAGGTAAATGTGCGGATAAAGTCTAAGATGGTGGACTGAGTGAGCGGATGTTTCACCGCCGCTGCAGGCGCCGATACCCACCGATGATGCCCACGACCAGCTCGCCCTTTTCGCTGTCAATGCCCACAAGCAAAGAGTAGTCCATCACATTCAGCCGGGAAAGAAATAGCGTGTCGTTCCAGATGGAAGAGCGCAGCATCATCTTGGAGTGTTCACGGATGAAGATGGGGTTTTCGTAGATGTCTGTCGGGAGGGTTTCGCCGCCCACAAGCAGGGTGAGACGACGCAGCGGCGGTTGTTCGCAGCATAATACGCACATTGTATGAGATTTTCGTCTAGCAGCACTTCGTCTTCCCGGTCGGTACGTTCTGCCTTGCGATTACGCGTAGACCCCTTAAGATCAAACAGCTGTCGTAGCAAAGGGCCGATGAGTAGACTGCCTAGGCAGATGCCATCCATTGACGAGTGCCTCCTACCTGCGAAATCTTGCGGTTGTAAAATAGGTTCTCCATGACAATCACATCCATGCGCACCGATTCTCCCGTAATCGGATCCTTGTAACCAATGCGGTAGTATCCAAACAGCTTGGTAAGCACGGTGTTGAGCTAGCAACAGATACAAGGTAAGCTACGTCTACGCGCCGAACCACTTGCTATGCGCACTTGCCTCGCTGAAGAATGCACGCGACATGTAGTCAAAGTAGGATGGCGCAAAGCGCAGCAGTGCATCCGCCTCGGAGCGCTGCAGTTGCTTCATAATGAGTCGATTATCTGGGCGATAGCAGGATTCGGCGATATGTCAGCTGCTGTTCACAACGGACATACGGCTAAGCGGCGCACCTTTGGTCTTCAAAAAGGCCGCACCAGACTTGCCGCCGCGCGAGCTCCACTTGACACAGCGAGACAGCGAGTCTATGTAG